GCCCCCTCCCGCCAGGGCTGGGCCTGGTGTCCCCGCAGCCAGGCTCGACCCGCCCCGATGCCCTAAGGTTACTCTTCTCCCTCCCGGATCTGCCGAGAAACACACACGGCGTGTGAGTAAGTCCAGTCTCTTCACTGGGACAGACTCGTTTTCATTTTTGTTCTCGTTGCCAAGGCAACTGGGGCCCAGCGTGGTCCCTCCCCGTGACCGAGAGGGGAGGGGAGCCGAGAAGCCGCGCCCGCAGCCGTGGGAACCAGCGCCCACGGGAGGAAAGGCCAGTGTGGCCACTGAGGCCAGAGGAGCCGAGTGGGGATGTGAGTGACGAGCCGCCCAGCAGGGCCTGGGCACCGAGGAGGACGTGGACTCCGATGGCCGGGAGGCTCGGGTGGGTGGTCAGGGATCAAAGCGCCCGAAGGCTCCGGTGCCGTGGGAGGCAGCGCACGGAGTGAGGACGGGCCGGAGAGCAGGTGGCCCGCAGTCGGGACGGGCTCTGCGATGACCCGAAAGCCACCTGCGGGCTGAAGGCTCTGCCCACCAGGGGCACAGCGGGTGTCCATCACGCCCGCCGCCCTGCACCCCTGAGAAGAACCACACGGTGTGACCAGCAGTCACTGGCCCACAACGGCCCGGAGAGCCCTGGAGGCCATCCAAGCAGAACTGCATAAATTATCACGGAATGATGGGAAAAAACAGAGTTTACTTCTTTCTTATGAATCCTAAAGTAGGATCCGAAATCTCTCTGGGTCGTGTTACTGTTTTATAATCTTAATGCCCAGAAAGTTCTTTCTTCTGTTAAATTTATGACTCACTTGATGCGACTTAAATCTAGTGTAGAATGTCTTCACCCCCCCTCCCCCGCCCCGATTCCCTTTGCTACAGCCACACTGGCCCCCTCTTGCCCCTCAAATACCCCGCATGCTCCTTCCTGGGCACCGGCCGTGTGGTTTCTTGCTGGGATGCCCATCGCCCACCAAACACAGACCACAGAGGGCCCACCCTCACCTCCTTCAGGTCTTCACTCCCAGTCTACCTCTCGGTGAGACCTCTCCCTCCTGCCTCCAGAATGCCACCCTCTGCCTCACAATTTGTATTCCCTGCCCAACATTTTTCTGTATCATTGATCACTTTCTAATCTATCGTATTTTTACTGACATATATTGCTTATCTGTCTCCCCAGTTTGAATGTGAGCTACATGAGTGGGGGATTTCGTTCATTACTGGACCTCCTGAATCTAGAACAGTACCTGGAGTACTGTGCATGCTCACTGCATGGTTTTTGAAAGAGTGAGTGAATGAATGAATGAATGCATGAGTGAGGGAGTGATCACAGGGGCAGAACTAGGGAGACTTAGGAGAATGATGACGTACTTAGATATACTTTTGCAGAGAGGACTCTAGTTTTCTCCATCTTATCAATCCTCTCAGCTTTATGCTTTCTTTCAAAGATCCCCTCACATGCACACTAGTCCCCACTTTGGACTGATAGTTAATCACTATTTTAACCCTTACACACAAAAAACCCAAATAAACAGAAACTCCCTTTAGGACATTTTTGTTCTTATCACTTAGAAGGAGATACTGACATCCTCAGGCTTACTATCCAAGGCTGCGTTGCTGCTGGACCTTGTGACCTAGGACCAGGGCGCCCTGATGCCCAATCTCTCAACCAGATGCAGCCAAGAAAACGTGGAGAAGATGGTGTTGTGGCAGGATGCACGGGAGAACAGCCAGCCAGCTCTGAGCAGGAAAGTTTAACCTTTATTTCGCGGATCTGCTAGTCCAGGGATTCCGGATCCAAAGCCTGAACTGCACTCGTGGGGAGGCTCTGACCCAGGGGTGGGCAAACTTTTTGACTCGAGGGCCACAATGGGTTCTTAAACTGGACCGGAGGGCCGGAACAAAAGCATGGATGGAGTGTTTGTGTGAACTAATATAAATTCAAAGTAAACATCATTACATAAAAGGATACGGTCTTTTTTTCTTTTTTTAGTTTTATTCATTTCAAAGATCCGGCCCACGGGCTGTAGTTTGCCCACTGGGTTAGGCTCTGCACCTCCGGCCGAGCCAGTCAGAGTGGGGAAGTAAGACTACAGTTTTAACCAGACACTGAACTAGGTTGCAAGCCCCCCCAGTTTCCTTTTCAGTGGCATCCTTCACTCTTCTCCAGATCTTCCCTGTTGTCTCAGACACGACTTTCTTTCCTGGACCGTCTTCCATGCGACTGACCTTTCTCCTGCCTCCCTTTCAGAGCCTCTCCATCTCCCTCGGCGACTCCATTCCTGTGCCTCACTGAGACCTTAGTGCAGTGATGGCGAACCTATGACACGCATGTCAGAGGTGACACGTGAACTCATTTTTTTGGTTGATTTTTCTTTGTTAAATGGCATTTAAATATATAAAATAAATATCAAAAATATAAGTCTTTGTTTTACTATGGTTGCAAATATCAAAAAATTTCTATATGTGACACGGCACCAGAGTTAAGTTAGGGTTTTTCAAAACGCTGACCCGCCGAGCTCAAAAGGTTCCCATCACTGGGCTAGATCATGAGTCCCCTGGGTGTTTGCAAAATAGTGACATTCTCATTCTGTTCTTACTTCATTCATCAGCTGGGCTACTTTTGCAGAGAGAAGCTTTTCATCTTGAATCTTTCCTTAGGGACAGTGAGTGGATGCAGCCCCCCAACACTGCCCAGGGCATGTGCTCTCTGCTGCCACGTGGGTCAACCCCTTAGTTTGCATCCTTCTCATCAGACATTGTTTTCCTCCCCAGAAGCTGTTTTGCATTACAGTGTATACCAAACAAATTGCTGTTTTGCATTACAGTGTATACCAAACAAATTGCCCTTAATAATGATTTATTTTCTAAATTAAAGGACAAAAGTCATACATGACTGTTGAGCAGAACTTCTGATCAGAAGAATAACGTTATCAAGATCAATTGCTATAATTCAGGCCAAAAACAAACAAAAAAACCATGATGTTCACTGAGGCTGCAGCTGATTAGATATATGTTAGTTGGGTTTTACAGTGCTGAAACTCAGTTAACCTGCATTGCTGCACTCCCTTTCACAGCAGAGAGGGCCGTCGGGGGCCCGGAGGCCAAGGCCCTGCCGTCTGCTGCTCTGCTGCCCCCGCTCTGCTGCCTCCACTCTGCCTCTCAGCAAACCCTCCTGTAATGTCCAGCTCAGGGGCTGTGCCTGGACTTTCTGTCTGTCAGCTCTCAAAAAGGGGAGGCTCTGAGGTCTGGCCGTTGGCACGTCTAGGGACCAGGCCCCAGTGGGCTTGGGTATTTCACAGGATTCAATGAGGTGCCATCCGTCCTTTCAAACAGAACGGGTTAGTGTTGGGGCAGACTCCAATTTTGAATTCCTGTCTCTTACAATTCCGCTGGCAGCGAGCAGTCCCATAGCCACATATCTTGTCTGCGTCAAGGTCACCTCTCACTGAAATAACACAGTCAGTCAGTGTGAGCAATTGCACCCGAGGATCAGAGGCCAGACATTGGAGCAGGTTTTGTGGGGGAAAGACTGAAATGACATAGAGAATGTTTGAGGTCCCCAAGTCCCCCCGGGTGCCGGGCCTGCCAACATGCACCACAGCTATAAGGCGGGGAAGCCTGTTAGCCAGGGACCGGGCTCCACAAAGTCAACTCAGTTCCTTAAACTGGATTCTAGGTGCAAAGATGACATTCCAGTCACGGCCGTGGTCACATAACCAGTGTTTCCAATTGTGTCTTGTTACAAGGATAACATACTTATTGATCTTACACAAATAATTACCTATATATATAAAGCTCTCAGTGGCGCCAATGGCACAGGTGTGTTTTGATCTGTCGTCGTTGATGGTGAATTTGGTTGACACTTCTATTATAGAGAAAGGGCAAATAGCGATATTCAAATATTCTAATTAATTTCCTTTCAGTGTGCACGAGTTCATGCACCGGGCCACTAGTGTTGACATAAGAATAAGAAAAAATAATAGTTTCCTAATTCTTGAAGAATAATGCAGGGAGGAAAAAAAATAAGTGTTTTATTTTAGCTAGTTGCCCATCAGCAAATTTGAATCCAGACTTATGGATGCAGAACAAATGCACAGGCAGTAATTCAATGTCTCCAATTAAAGTCTTGGAGTCAAGAAATTAATCTCAACACGTGTGTGACACATGAGATGTTTTGGTAAGTAGGTTCTCCATCTATTTATTATTAATATAATTATCCATGCTGGTGTATATTTATTTCGTTAACTATTCATCTGTCTATATCTGTATTTATGTCTTATGTCTTTGTTTACCTCTATGACTATGTCTCCATCTACCTCTCTCTCTCTCTCTCTCTCTCTCTCTCTCTCTCTCATCATAGTCTATCTATCTCAGCAGGTTGCTTGGGGCTGACTGCCTGAGAGGAAGCTAGAGGTCTGTTTATTTATAGACTCCAGGAGTCCCCCTTTAAAAGAAATATCAGATGGCTTCGGGACAGTTCCCTTACCAAAACAACAGCAACAAAACCCCAGAAAAAGAATCAGGGGACAGTCAAGGTAGCTACTCATGTTCCCCATCCAGTCAAAGCATGTGACACGTTACTGAAAGCCAGCCACTCGTTTTTATTGCAACATCTCAAGGCGTACTCGATGGGAGAGGTGAGACAGATGGGGGAGGTGGGAGAGGTGAGACAGATGGGGGAGGTGGGAGAGGTGAGACAGATGGGAGAGATGGGAGAGGTGAGACAGATGGGAGAGGTGGGACAGATGGGAGAGGTGAGAGAGACGTGAAAGAAGTTGTAGTTAGGCCCGCCTCGGTGGTCCTGGGAGTCTTCTTCTTGATGGAATCCTCCTTTTCACTGTTGGAACATGGCTGGAGGGCGAGGCAGCATTTCAGAGCCCTCTGACAGAGAGCAACGAGCTCTTCATTTTTCTGACAAGATTTCACGCATCTCCCTTTAAGCTTGAGGCATTTCTGATCAAAAAACGAATTCCTGGCTACACAAGGGAAGGGCCACCAGGATTAGTTCTCGTCTCAGCCACATCTGGTTACCAGGCACAGCCAGGGAGGGAACCAGTTGGTGAAGATTCTGTCCGAGTTGGTGCCTCTCCTACCACGAGAGGGCAGGGGAAATGGTTTCTATCTGGTCTCAGAACAGGAAGGACAGAGTTGGCTCCCAGTGTCGGGGGGGCTTTGGGAAACAGACACTGTTGTTCTCTTATCAAAATCTGTTGGGTTGTGGGTTTTTTTTAGAAGTTTTTAAAGAATACTTTTTATTGATTTCAGAGAGGAAGGAAGACGGAGGGAGAGATAGAAACATCAATGATGAGAGAGAATCATGGATTGGCTGTCTCCTACACGACCCCCACTGGGAATTGAGTCTGCAACCCGGGCATGTGCCCTGACCGGGATTCGAACTGTGACCTCTTGGTTCATAGGCTGATGCTCAACCACTGAGCCACGCTAGCCATTATCAGCTTGTTCCTATAAACACATGCAGTCAGTAACTTCCCCCACACACTCCAAGTGCTACAAGAGGAGAGAGGAGAGCCCAGCCTGAGTTTGGGGAATGGCCGAGACTGGGGTGAAAACCGAATAAATATGTAGAAGAAAGAAGTGTGCTGAGGTGAAGAGACTGCTTAGAAAGAGTCAGTCTGATTTATCCTCCACATCCACCCCTGCGTTCAAGACCAGGAAGGGGAGTGGGGTGGGGTGCTCCCCACTCCTTCCCTTTGCTAGTCTGCCCGGGGGCCTGGTCCTCGCCTGAGGCTGGATCATAGCACCCATAAGAGCATCCAGCTTCAAGTTAAGGACAGACAGCACATCAGAATCCACACTGTAGAGTTGTCAAATTTGGATATTTGCAATGAAAGAGTCAGATGGACACAGATTGCAATGAATGTCAACATACAGCATGGACATGCACTAACAAGAGGGATGGGTACCCCACATGCTCTGGTCCTGCCTCTCATAGCATAGAAGCTCATACGGATAAACACCCTGCATTTGAAGGACCAGGGAACTGTGGCTCCCACAGAAGGGGTCTGTACTCTCTGTCCTCCTAATTTGTAAGGTGTCTCAGGCTAGGGTGCTGGACCTCACTCTGACAACAGCCCTTGCATTGGGTTCAACTCTCAGTGATGGTCCAGGAAGAGAAGCCTCTGGGAAGAGGAAGAGCATTGGTGACCCACAGGCTCCTGTGAATTCTCAGAGACGCCCATCTAAAGGCTCATGCAACTCTGTGCAGATGTGAGCACCCAAGACACATTCATAGCAAACGTTCATGTACTCAGAACACTTTATCATACAATCTTCAGGAGTGATCTGAAAATGATACCTTGGTCCGTGTCCGATGTGTGCGTCAAAGCCAGTGGAATGAATGGCTCACTGGAGGCGCCATCCCCATGTCCTTGACCCAGAATCTACTTCCTTAGAGTGATTGCAACTCTCCTGGCATCTGGGGTGCCCCTGGGCTCACTGTGAATTCTGCAAAGCTCCTCCTTTGGTCTCTGAAACCCGGGGTGAGTCTAGTCTTAGACTTTAATTTTGGGGAGGATTGGACTAGAGCCAGTGGAGGTTTCCAGGAGCAGGAAACAGTGGCGAGAGTTCTGGTTGGGAAGGAAAAGTCCTTTTGCTGTGGACAGAGCTGGTCTTGGAGCCTGGCTCACCCCTGTGCACCTGCAGGGCTCAGCACCTGCTTAGCCCCCCTGAACCTCCCTGTCTGCACTCTCAAAAGAGATGTCAAATGGTCCTTCCCAAGCAAAAGAGATGCTCGGAATGTCCCTGAGTTAGGGCAGGGCAGAGTTCCCAGAAGGCACCAGCATTGCAGAGCTAAATGCATGTCAGCATGTGGAGTTGTCACACTCTCCAGCTGCATAGCTTGTGTTTTGGGCATGGCAGCTGGTTTGACTCTTCCACCCACTGGCACAAATAGCGTCTCTAAGCTCCATTCCTATTGATTTCCAGCTCTTCCTATCTTACCTGTCTTCCTCTCTATCACAACTATGTTTTAAAAGACCCATAGATGGTTACCCTTGCTTTTCTTTCTTTTTGCAAATTTTTTTTTTGGCCAGTGAGCATGAGACTAGGGGTCCAGGGGCACCTTTGCTGGCTTATCTGTGTTTCTGCAAACCTGTGACACCCCGTCCCAGACAGTAATGGAAAAGGGGAAGCGTTTGTAGAAGAGGCACGAGGGGCCTGCCACCTCCTGGAGCCAGTGGTCCCCGCAGGGCCATGGGGCCCAGGCCACCCTTGTTTCCCAGAGTTGACCTTGGCCACGTCCTCCCCGAGGCAGGCCCTGTCTCCGGTCCACCCCCTCCAATGCCCACCCTGCAAAGGGGCTCCTGTTACCTGGGGCCAGAAGGAGGAAAACAGCGAGGAGAAAGAGGATCGTCTTCATGACTTCCGGGGTCTGGAGAAACCAGCTCGGCGTCCATGAAAAATGAAGCAAATACCCCCATTTATGCGTTTTCCCAGACCAAACCCGATCTTGATCGCTGAGGCATAAAGAACTGTCTCTGTGCTCGGCTGCACCGAGTCCACGTACTTCGGTGGGTGTCAGCCTGCGGCTCCTCCGGGTGTTTTTACTCTGGAAAGTTCCCAAGAAGAACATGGGATGTCGGGAGGGCAGAGCAGGTGTGCACTGAGGACCCAGCACAGACATGTGTCCGCAGGGTCTGGCAGCTGGCATCTCTAACCCTGCCGACGCTCCATGACAGCCTCGGTCTGCTCCCCTGTACACCGACAGGACCTGGGCGATGTCCCAGTGTGTCGGGCAGAGCTGGTGCTAAGCCCAGGGGCGACTGGGTTCCCGCTCCAGGATCTATGAGCCGTGCACACTCGGCACATAGCTTCATGGGGCACACCCATCACCATTTATCTTTTTAAATACATTTTTTTATTAATTTCAGAGAGGAAGGGAGAGGGAGAGAGATAGAAACATCAATGAAGCAAATCATTGATCGGCTGCCTCCTGCACGCCCCACACTGGGGATTGAGTCCAAAACCCAGGCATTGAATCATGGCCTCATGATTCATTGGTTGGTGCTCAACCCCTGGGTTCACCATTTATTTTAAAACTAGTGGTGTGGCCTGGTGCACAAAATTCATGTGGGGGGGAGGGGGGGCGTCCCTCAGCCCGGCCTACACCCTCTCCAATCTGGGACCCATCGAGGGATGTCCAACTGTTGGCAGTCAGACATCCCTCTTGCAATACGGGACTGCTGGCTCCTAACCGCTCACCTGCCTGCCTGCCAGATTGCCCCAACCACTCTGCTTGCCCCCAACTGACCCCCCACTGGCCTGATCACCCACAACTTCCCTCCCCTCTTGGCCTCTAACCACCTCTACCTCAGCCCCACCACCATAGCTTTGTCCAGAAGAATGTCCGGAAGGTCTACTGAAAGGTCTCCCAGTCTAATTAGCATAATACTCTTTTATTAGTATAGATAGAGGCCTGGTGCACGGGTGGGGGCCGGCTGGTTTTCCCTGAAGGGTGTCTTGGGTCAGGGTGGGGGTTCCCTTGGGGAGCAGGGCGGCCTGAGCAAGGGGCCTGTGGTGGTTTTCAGGCTGGCCACATCCCCATTGGGGTGGGAGTCCCCACTGGGGACATTGCAGGCCTGGGTGAGGGGCTGGGGCAATTTGCAGACCAGCTATGCCCACATGGGGTGAAGGTCCCCACTGGGGAGGTATGGCCAGCCTGGGTGAGGGGCTGAAGGCTGTTTTCAGGCTGATTACACCCCCTTCAGGGGGGGTCCCCACTGGAGTGCCTGGCCCACCTGGGTGGGGGGCTGATGGCTGTTTGCAGGCTGGCCACGCCCCCCAGCAGGGACCCACACCTCGATGGTGGCGTGGTCAGCCTGAGAGAGGGGCTGAGGGCCGTTTGCAGGCCCTTCCCTCGGCGGCCGGCCCAGTGGACCCAAGCCTCCCGTGCACTTGGGCTGGCTCCTTGGCGGCCACCCACAGGCCCCTCCTTCAGATGCCGGTCAGGGTGGGCGGGAAGCTTGGGTCATCCCCAGCAACCCAAGCCTCCCCTGCACTCCGACCTGCTCCCTGGCTGCCGCCCACAGGCCCCTCCTTCGGTGGCTGGCCCAGGAGGGCAAGAAGCTTGGCTTCCTCCATCGCCAGGGGTGACCCAAGACTCCCACCGGCTCAGGCTGGCCCCGTGGCCACTGCCATCTTTGTCCTGCTAATTTGCATACTCACTCCTGATTGGCTGGTGGGTGTTGTGAAGAGATGGTCAATTTACATATTTCTCTTTTATTAATGTAGATGTGACTCTTCTTGCCTGGCTGGGTGGTTCAGTGGTTGAGCGTCAACCTATGAACGGTTTGATTCCTGGTCAGGACACATGCTTGGGTTGCGGGCTCGATCCTCAGTTTGGGGCATGCAGGAGGCAGCTGATCAATGATTCTGTCATCATTGATGTTTCTCTCTCTCCCTCTTCCTTTCTCTCTGAAATCAATTTAAAAAATTTGACTCTTCCTGTATGCCGCACACTTTAAGTGCCACATGCATCAGAGTAAATTCTTAAACAACTCCCTGGATAGTTGTGAGCTTATGGGGTTCTTGATTGACATTTCATATGTGTGTATGTGTGTGTGTTTGTGTGTGTGTGTGTGTGTGTAGTACTTTCATCATTAAATATGTATATAAATAGTCTTCTAAATCTTATTTAAGAACAGGTGCCATGGTTATTAACATTAGTAATTACTAACGTGGATACATTAGGGGTGGGTGGGGGAGGATACGGTACTATCTTTGAAATTTTTCAGTAACTGAAGATTCTTCCTTAAAAAGACTATTAGGGAATGTCCCATCTATCCTCAGCCTTGGTCACTATGATATTTTTAGGTATTTTTTTGTGCATATTCATTATAAATTATGAATAATCCAGTTAAGAATGATTGAAAATGCAAATTTTCTCTATTCTCTTCCAACCATCACTTAAAAAAATTTAAGTCTACAAGAAAAGACAAACTTTCAGATAGTCTCTGTGACAAATGGTTTCAGTTACCTCATTGATCACCTCACGATCTCGTTGTTTGGGCCTTTCCGAGGCGGGTCTTTGTCAGCAGGTGAAGGGTGCCAGGTGGGGTCCTGTGGGACCACCTGGAGCGAGGGAGGGTCCACCCGACAGGGGACCCGCCGCTTAGTGTTAGCTCCCCAGCTTCTCTTCCCAACCGGATGCACAGTGCCGGTCCGTTTCGGCTGCTGTGGCCAAATACCACATTCTGGGTGTGGTTTGTAAACACCGAACATTCATGTCTCCCGTTCCGGAGGCCAGAGGTGCAGGACCAGGGAGCCAGCGGTGGGCTTTGGTGAGGACTCTCTGCCAGGGCACTTCTCCATGTCTTCCCGCGGGAAGGGGCAGGGTCTCTCTGGAGTCCCTTGTAGGAAGGCATCGCTGGCACCCCATTCATGAGGAATTAGCACCCAATCGCCTTCCAAAGGCCCCACCTCCTAACACCATGGGCTTGGGAGTTAGGGTTTCCGCATTAGAATTGGGGGTTGGGGGCAGAAGCATTGGAGGTGTCTGAGCGCTCACAATAGCCCCTTAACTCTCCTGGAGGCAGTGTGGCCTGGCCCGGTTAGTAAAATGCCCAAACGCTGCAAGGCAGTAGGCTCCCCTCTAGCCCTGTCCCCACACACATGAGTGTGTCTTCCTGAAGGTGACCTACCAAGGCCTGGGGACAAGCACACAGCCATCAGCGCTGGCGCGTTCTCTGGCCGGGACAGTCCCTCGTGATCGATGGGCCTGAAAAAGCGCTTCCGGAGAAGCTGGCGCCAAGCTGGGTAGAGCGAAGAGTGGAGGTCGTACCAATCACCACAGCCAGGCACTCAGATAAGACTTTCCATCCCTTATTTCAGGTCATTCTCTCCAGTGTCCTGCGAGGACCTACCACGACTACATCCTCATTTTAAGGATAAGGAATGTGAAGTTAAAAAATTAAGCGACCTGTTCAAGGTCATCTCCTTAAAAACTCAATCTGTCTGTCATCAGAGTCTGCATTGGCAGATGGTCCTGTTGTCTGTTCCAGAAACGAAGGACAGAGCATCGCTTGGGCAGAGACAACAGGGTGGGCTGCCTTGTCTGCAGTGACAGGAAGACAACTTCTGACTCCCACCTCCTTCATGAATTCCCAGGACGTGGTAACCATGACTCGGACCTGCTGGGTGACATTGTTACAGGCCCGGGGATTGGGTGCTAACTTGACTGCCTTCCCCCCTTCCTCCTGGGTCATTTACAGACAATACCATGGGAGCCAGGACAGTGCTGGCCCACCTTCCTGAGCTCGGACCAGGCCTCCTGTGAGCATCCCAGTGTCCAGAACATCACCACACAGAGCCTCCAGCACCTGGAGAGGCCGGTGGGAGACCCCCGTTCTCTCTCCGTGACGCAGCTGGTTCCCGTTTGATGGAGGAGGGACTGACTCCCTGTCCTGGGCACAGCTGTGTGAGGCCCTGGGCTTCCACGCCCGCCCGCTGTGTGAGGCCCTGGGCTTCCACGCCCGCCCGCTGCTCTTTCCACGGAGCAGAGTGCTTGATGGAGGCTGAGGGCTGTCCCCCATCCTGTCTGCTCTTGAACCGGGGAAATGGAGCATGTCCCTGTGCTCTCTTTGTTGATTCACTTCACTGCCCAAGAGCAGGGCGCTTGGTTCTCGGATATAAGTGGGCCTCCTGTCCCCTCAAAGATGTGGAGACACTTCTGCCAGCAATGGCCCCGAGCAGGAAGATGCTGTGTTTTGTCTTTGTCTTTTTCTTCATTTTGGCTCAATGTCCATCAGGTAAAGGAGAAAGGCTGGGATTTCGATGGGGCAGAGCACAAAATGGGATGATTCTTCTATGCACCACCCTAAAACTGGGAGTAATGGTCAGCTCCCCCCTGTGCGTCTTACAGGAATTTCTTGAACTTTCAGTGGAATTGTCTAAGAGGGAACAACTACACTCCTTCTTCTTCTTCTTCTTCTTCTTCTTCTTCTTCTTCTTCTTCTTCTTCTTCTTCTTCTTCTTCTTCTTCTTCTTCTTCTTCTTCTTCTTCTTCTTCTTCTTCTTCTTCTTCTTCTTCTTCTTCTTCTTCTTCTTCTTCTTCTTCTTCTTCTTCTTCTTCTTCTTCTTCTTCTTCTTCTTCTTCTTCTTCTTCTTCTTCTTCTTCTTCTTCTTCTTCTTCTTCTTCTTCTTCTTCTTCTTCTTCTTCTTCTTCTTCTTCTTCTTCTTCTTCTTCTTCTTCTTCTTCTTCTTCTTCTTCTTCTTCTTCTTCTTCTTCTTCTTCTTCTTCTTCTTCTTCTTCTTCTTCTTCTTCTTCTTCTTCTTCTTCTTCTTCTTCTTCTTCTTCTTCTTCTTCTTCTTCTTCTTCTTCTTCTTCTTCTTCTTCTTCTTCTTCTTCTTCTTCTTCTTCTTCTTCTTCTTCTTCTTCTTCTTCTTCTTCTTCTTCTTCTTCTTCTTCTTCTTCTTCTTCTTCTTCTTCTTCTTCTTCTTCTTCTTCTTCTTCTTTTCTTCTTCTTTTTAACTTCTTCCTGGTTACCAGGAGGGCTAGGCTTCAGAAATAGAATAAATCTGCATCCCTGTGTCCTGCTGCCCCTGACAGGAAGGAGATCTGTGGGGTTGGAGTATGTTTCCTACAGCCCTGTTCCCTGCATTGATTTCAATTTTCAAAATGTGCTTTGCTTTGAATTTAGGGTCCCGGGCAGGACTCGAGTATTCCCAGCCATTCCCTGGAGGTGAGTTAAACCCTTTGTGTGTAGTTTCACTTTGAAGAACACTGGCCTGTCTGCTATTTCTGATTCCTGGACACAGGAGGTGAAGGAGAGAGCAGTAAAAATAGAATTGCCCGAACTCCCACTCATGCTTCTCTTTTTTCCTCTTGGTCCCAGAACCGTATTTGGATTTTCTATTTCACGAGAAATCTCTGTTACTGGGTTGTAATGTTGGTTTGGACCTGGTGGCTACACTCACGGTGATCCCTAAACCAAGGTCACAGGATTGAGCTGGAACCAGCCCATTAGCACTGCTCTGGGACATGCTTATCCATCGCTTCTAGGCTCTTTCCTGAATCCAGTAAAGTGTGTCCCAAATGCATGTCACTGGCCTATGAGGGAGAAAGGATTATTCAACAAACACTCCATGACAGAGAGCTCTTAACAAATAGCCCACTGATGTGTGTGTGTGTGTGTGTGTGTGTGTGTGTGTGTGTGTATACTTTACAGGAAGAGAGCATATATTATACACAGAATAGAAAGAAATGTTCTGGGGTAATTGCAAACAGAATTTAAAAATGTTTAGACAGATTTTCAGAGTGAGGAAATTAAGGCTGATACTAGTCATTGAGTACTTACTGTGCACTGGGCAGTCTATTAACTACTTTCTGTGGATTATCTCATTTCATTTTCAAAACCTCCCTAGGTCTGGCTGGCATGGCTCAGGAGTTGAGCTCCAATCCAGCTACCAAGAGGTCACCGGTTCGATTTCTGGTTAGGGCACATGCCTGGGCTGCAGGCTCAGTAGGGAGGGTGATCCCCAGAAAAGGGGGGGTGCAGGAGGCAGCTGATTGACAATGTTTCTCTCTCATCAGTGTTTCTATCTCTCTTTCCCTCTCCCTTCCTCTTTCTCTAAAAATCAATAAAAACATATCAAATAGAGGCATCCCTAGGTGGTAGGTACTATTACAACCACCATCTATATAAGTAAAGAGCCAGGGTCTGTAAGGACCTAAGGCTCGACCTAACACCAGAAGTCAGTGCTGGGGGCATTGACTGCCAAGGGGCTGCAGATTAGGCCCGGAGAGAGGCGTGCAGAGAGAGAGAGGCAGGGTCTGATCTGCAGCCTCAGTGGCAGCTGTTGATCAGCCCCGCCTCTTTGATCAGGCCCAGAGACACTCACTGGCATAGAAGCCGACCAATCAGAACCTAATCGGGATGAACTACAAAGGCAGACCCCAAGGTGGGGGCTGAGGAGGGGTTTTAAGGGCAACAGCTATTTGGTGTAAGGTGTTAGAAAGTTGTTCAATTTTTTAATGACCGGTTTGGCAGTATAGTGCATATGGCTGGCTATCAGTCCAGATATAGGGATTATGTGTTTTTGTCTGCCAAGAGCATCTCCTCCTGCTGTAAAAGGCTCCCCCTCCCATTTTAGCAATCCTATCCCATATAATCTATCTATAGTAATAAAAGGGTAATATGCTAACTAGACCAGGTCAACGGGCCATCTTCCGGACATCCAACTTCCTTCCAAAGCCATGGTGGTGGGGGCCGAGGCAGAGGCAGTTAGGGGCAATCAAGCCAGCAGGGGAGAGCAGTTAGGGACGAAATCAGGCCAGCAGGGGAGGGCAGTTTGGGGTGATCAGGCAGGCAGAAGCAGTTGGGGGCAAGATCAGGCTGGCAGGGGAGAGCAGTTGGGGTGAGATCGGGCAAGCAGGCAGAGGCAGCTAGAGGTGATCAGGCAGGCAGGAAGGGAGGTTAGGGGTGATCAGGCAGGCAGGCAGGTGAACAGTTAGAAGCCAGAAGTCCCAGATTGCAAGAGGGATGTCCAACCCCTGGTTTAGGTCCAATCCCTGTGGAGAGGGTGCAGGCTGGGCTGAGGGAACCCCTCCCTCCCCAGTGCACAAATTTCGTGCACCGGGCCACTAGTTTTACATGTAATGAAGCAGAGACATAGATGGGATGTTACATAACTCTGCCTGGAGGGTGGGGTGGGGTAGGGTCACAAATAGTAAGTGCTAAGTTAGGCTTTGCCGGAGGACATCAAAGTCAAGTTTTAATTCTGTGATTCTCAACCAGATAGAACAGTGCCCAACGGTACTCTTAAGCAGGGGTGGCACCGCAGCACGGGCGTTGGGCAATCAGACCGTCTGCTGCCTGAGAAGTGCAGATGCTGTCATACAGAATCGTTGTGCTGGCACCTCTGGGTACCAACTGGATATAAGCCCTGCAGGCAAACACCCAGAGAGGGTCCCCAGGTGATGGCGGGAGAACGGCCCCTAGCTCTGCAGTGACTGAGCTCCTGGAGGGAATCCCGCATCCCAACGAGCAGCTCAGATGAGGAAAGCCACCTCGTCTCCTGTCTGGTCTGACTCCAGGGCTGAAGGTGCTGCTTCTTTCCTGCCTCGGGAAGTAGAACAGGCGGAGGCACCAAAGCACAGCCATCGGCCAATCCGGGTGAAGAGCGTGGGAGAGTCCAGAAGCAGGGACAGACGACAGAGGCGAATGCAGGAGACCCCAGTGAGGAAGGGATGTAGGAGGAGAAGATAATACAATGAGGATCTGGACGTGAGCCAGGCATCGAGGAGTCAGATCCAGCTGTTGAGTGGAGGCTCTCGGAGCCAGAGTTGGCTGTAGAGCGGGGACATGCAGGGAAGGAAGACACTGGTCCTTTCTTCCTACTGTTCTCAGGAGGCTTTTGGTGGCACCTGCTCATGGCAGACGGCCCCCCCCCCCCAGAACTTTAGTGTTTGTCTCCCCTCACTTCCAGTCGGAGTGGGTTAAAAGCCAAGTGACAGGGACTTTGTTTTAGAGGCGAGCGGAGTTCTTGTCACCAGGTATGATGAGTGCACCTCAAGAGGAAGAGTGGGTGAGAAGAGTCTGGGCTTTGCTAGAGCAAAGGCTGAGGATTGGACTGTGGACCTCACAAATGGACAAATGAGGTAGTCGCCAACGAGCACAGTAAGTTGCAATACAACGTAAGCGACACTTAGCACGAATACAATCGCTGGTTTAGTGTTCAGGAGATCCGGAGGGAAAGGAATAGGACGGAGCCCCAGGCATGGAGCCACTCTAGCTGGGTGTGCTGCTGAGAGTCCTCAGAGAGTGAGGAGCAGGTGATGAGGCAGGTCACCAGGGGGATGGGGACTGAAGAACCTGAAGGTGGGAACTGAGCTGTGTAGGAGCAGGGGGAGGACTGCATGGTGATGCCAACCTGTGATGCTCACTGTGCTCTGAGGTCACTGGGAGGAGGGTGGTGATTAGGAAAGAAAACAAGGGGTCCCAACATCAGTGCTGCCCCCTGAGAACTAGATGAGCACAGGAATGTTCCTTCTGTGGCAAAGACACTCCGTACCTGGGCCATGCAGGTTAGCTTGGACTCTCTCATGCAGGGAACCTTTTGCTTAGCCCTGACCAGTTTTGCTCAGTGGTTAGGCATCAGCCCATGGACCAAAGGGTCTCGGGTTTGATTCCTGGTCAAGGGCATATACCTGGGTTGCAGGTTCAATCTCCAGCCCTGGTTGGGTGTGAGCAGGAGGCAACCAGGGCGGGGGAGGCAACCAGTTAATGTCTCTCTCTCTCTCCATCCTTCCCTCCAACTGTCTCTAAAAATCAATGGAAAAAATATCCTCAGGTGAAGATTACTAGTAAGAAAAAACCCCAAAACCTTCTGCTTAAAGTACCAATAAAAAGAGCTAATTGAGTGAGTAGTGCTTGCAAAATATTCTCACATAACTTGTTCCATTTCACCATTAAAACAATGTAGACGTCGACTGGTATTTGTAGCACATCCATGTGACAACTGAGAAGGCTGAGGTTCAGTGATTTCCTGAGGACACGTGGCCATTACAAGACGCAAATTAGAACTGAACCGAAGTCTTTAACTCCTCCACCAAGAACCTTTTAACACTCCATGGTGTCCCTCCCATCATCGCCACAGCCTGTGTGCAGTGCCAGGTGTGCCAGGGACAGTCCTGTACACGCGTGTGTTGATGATGCTCCCTTTTGACCAGGCAGGTTAGAAACACAGGGAGGACCAGGATAGCACCTCCCTGTGGCTTAAAAATGAACTCTCTCCAACTCCATTTTGAAAAAAGCAGAGCTCTTTGAAAAATCCCCACTGGTTCTTGAAAACACCCTTTATAATCATAAATACAAACCCTCCCCTTTTGTGGCCGTGGACCTTTTCCCCACCTCCAGGGTCCGGGAAAGGGACGTGAGCAGCTCTTTCTCCGTGTAGGTGAGTTTGCTGCTTGTGAGCCATGCAGGCTGGGGCGGGGCAAGTGCAGGAAGGTGTGCACTGAGGATGAGAAGGTGGTCGGAAGTTGCAAGCTGAACTTCTTCTGCTGCCGACGGAGGATCCAGTGAGTCAGCCCAGCGCTCGCCCGCCTCTGCAGCAGCCCTGGCCACTCAGAGAAGGTCAAGGAGGTGATGTGGCGTAACACAGTCACGCAGTGCGCGAGGGTCAGGGCCCTTCATATCCCCCCCTTGTTTTGTTTCTTCGCTTTTGTTTTAAATTTATCTTTGCTGTTGAAAGTCCTCATTTCCCCCATTGACCCTTGTCCACCCTGCACCCATCCTGCTGCAGGCCTTCACCACACTATTGTCTATGTCCATGGGTTATGCATCTACAAATAGAAGTTCTTTGGTTACTTTCATCTCCCCCCCCCTCCCCTTCCCTTTGAGATTTGTCAGTCGGTTCCATGCTTCTGTGTCTCTGGATCTATTTTGTTCATCAGTTTATTTTGTTCCTTAGATTCCACATCTGAGTGAGATCACCTTTTACTTGTCTTTCTCTGACTGGCTTATTTCACTCAGCAGAATACTCTCCAGGTCCTTACATGCTGTCTCAAAGGGCAAGAGGTACCTTTTTACAGCTGCATAGTATTCTATTGTGTAAATGTACCGCATCTTCGCTTATTTTTAAAGATTATCTTGAAAAAAGTGAGTACCTGATAGCTTGAAGACATAAGTGGCTCCGGATTTCAATCAGATACCACCACTATGTATTAGTAGAGTGTCTAATACCTGAGGAAGCTCTTCCTCCTATGACTCAAGATCTCTGCATGAGGTGTCTGTCACCATCTCCATTTATATTGGAAGAAATGGAGACCCAGAGATGTGGACCTTTCCTCAAGGTGGTAGCCAGACCAGGAGAGGACGCTCACACCACTGTCACATTCTGCGTATCTGCCTACATGCACCAATTCTCACAAAACAGGAAAACATCTATGGAGTTCTACTTCTATGGAATCCAATAAATGCATTGTACCCACACCAGCTCCTGGTAGGCCAACATATTGTCCTTTCTTGATTCTAGTGCTTACGGGGTTTCTATAAAACAACTCACACCAACTCAGTTAATGTCTATGCCCCAACTTGGCTTTTTACTTCTTGCCGGTGAATGACAATGTTAGAGATCAATTTAAAATATTCAGCACGGAATGTACCTGAATGTTGAACTTGTGTCAATGATATGATTATGCTAATCCCTGTTACCCCTTCTTGGTTCTGGGTTTCATTTCCAAGCCCCCTCTCAATAACTGGAAGGGAATGAAGATGCCTATAAAGCAGGATTGATCAGGTTGGGCTGAATTCTCAAGAGGTAGTGGATAAAACATTAGGCATCATTAACTCCCACACGCCCAATTAAGGTACTGGACCCAAATGCAAGAATAGCAGAGCAATTGTGACTAGAAGCACTGAATCTTATGCATACCTAAGGGTGTGACAGAAAGCAAAAGAAGGCAGGGCACAAGGTTTCTTTGGAGAATGTGCTGATGCCCTGTGATTGTGACTTCGCTCTGCCCCTCAAGGGTGAGAAAACCTCCAGTTTTACACCAATCCTATGAGATGGGCTTCAAGGAGGTCCTTGGGGAACTCCATGCCCTGGTGTTCATGCCTGACTCACACCTGAAAGTATATGCAGGCAAGGAGGTCTGGCTGCGGTCGGCAGGACAAGAAAAAAAATCCAACAACAGAGTATATCAGGCAGGGCAAGGTGTGATTCCCATGGACCAAGTGAATGCTGTTCAAGGTCACTGGGCTGAAACCATCCTAAACGGACAACCCCCAGGAATGTGACTCATTAAGCAAAGGGACCCAGCAGTAAGGGATTTTAGGATGTAGCCCTGGGAGAGAGGAGTGGAAGGAGCTTCATAAGAGATCAACCAGAAAGAATATTCATTCTTCAGGAAACTGAGCAATGTCGTGCGTCATACAGGATCCTTGAAAGAACGCACACATGTGCTTCCCCAGCCAAATACTGCTTTTCTTTTTCTCAGTGACAACAGAGCACCACCCAGTTAGCAAAGTAGAGCAGCACATGCATCTCACACTCTGGGTGTCGGAGGTCTGGGCCTGTGCGGCTCAGGGTCTCAAGACTAAAATCGCGGTGTTTGCTGGGACGTTGATGTCATCGGAGGCAAGAGCCCTTTTCCAAGCCCCTGTGGCCGTTGGGAGGTTCAGTTGCGTGCAGGTGACTGCTCCTTGCCGTCTGCCAGCAGCCACCACCACTGAGAGCAGAATGCCAGGCCCTTGGCTCTTGCTCCATTAAGTGGCAGCTTTTCTCCTTCGAGGCCAAGGCAAGGTCATCACTCTCAGACTTCAAAACTATTTGACTTTTTTTAACAGCACAAATGAGGGTCGGGGGGAGACAAAGTTGGCCTGAAGACTCAGTGGTCCCAGGTTTGAGGGTTTGATTCCAGTCAAGGGCACATACTTCCATTGCAGGCTCGATTCCCGGGTTGGGATGTGTGTGGGAGGCAACCAATTGATGTGTCTCTCTCACATCGATTTTTCTCTCTCTGTCTCTCCCCCTCCCTACAATTCTGTTTAAAAAAATCAATAGAAAAAATATCCTTGGGTGAGGATTAATAAAAAATAAAAATAACGAAGGAATTAAATGGTAAACCAGACAGCATCTGTTAAACACAAAAGAAGGCAATAATGAAGTAACAGAAGAACAAAAAAGATATGACATTTAGAAAACAAAGAGCAAAGCAGATTTAAACCCCACCTTATCAATTATGACATTAAATGCAAAATTAATTAAACACTCCAATTAGCAATTGTCAGAAAAAAATCTTTAAAATTATCCAACTATATGCTGTGCACAAGAGGCACACTTTTGATTTGGTGGCTATACTAATAACAAACAAAATATACTCGAAGAGAAAATCATTACCAGAGACAAGAGGAACTTTTTATAATAATGATTAAATTCATCAAGGAAACAATAATTATAAAGATACTAGAGGCCTGGTGCACGAATTCGTGCATGGGTGCGGTCCCTCGGGGTGGCCTGCGGGGATTGGGCTGAAACCAGCAGTCCAACGCCATCTGCTGCTCCTGCCTGCTGCCCCCGCTCATCCCGGCCCCGCTGCACCTGCCACAGGCTGGTGCCCAGTCAGTCCCGATCGGGAGAGGATCGCAGCAGCAGCGCTCACCAGCCCTGAGCCCTGCGTCTGGTGCCCATCCAGAGGAGGGGGGCGGTGGTCAGGATGTGATTGGCCCTCTTGATGGGCTGTGGGATGCCCTTGCCGGCCCAGGATCTGGATCCATCCCGCTGACGTTCACACCGGTTGTAGGGAGCCACCTGGCAGCCACTCTTATATCGTTTCTTTTTTTTTTTTAATATATTTTATTTTTTTTACAGAGAGGAAGGGAGAGGGATAGAGAGTTAGAAACATCAATGAGAGAGAAACATCAATCAGCTGCCTCCTGCACATTCCCCACTGGGGATGTGGCCGCAACCAAGGTACATGCCCTTGACCAGAATCGAACCTGGGACCCTTCAGTCCGCAGGCTGACACTCTAGCCACTGAGCCAAACTGGTCAGGGCTATATAGTTTCTTTTCGCGGAGCATCTAGGAAGGGGAAGTGGCCATGGTGCCCAAGGCCGACTTCCAGGAGGTCGGCAGCACTGTCGGGATCATGCTGGCAGCGCCGGTCCATCAGTGCCTGGCCCATTCTCTGGAGATTGAACCTGCAGGACACTGAGGGAGTGAGTGGCTGCCGCGGGGCTGGTGGGCCACCGGGATGGGTTGGTCAGCTGAGCAGTAATCCTGCTGTGGGAGTGTACTGACCACCAGGGGCAGCCTTCTGGTGGTCAGTGAATGTCATAGCAACTGTTCTACTGGTTGTTCAGTCAACTGGTCATTCGGTCACTTAGCCTTTTATATCTATACTAGAGGCCCAGTGCAAGACATTTGTGCACGGGGGGGGGGCCCGGCCTGTGCCTTCTTGCAGTCCGGGATCCCTCGGGGTATGTCCACCTGCTGGCTTAGGCCCACTCCCCACTTCTGGCTAAGCGGCACTCCCCCTGTGGGAGCGCACTGACCACCAGGGGGCAGCTTCTGAGTGTCTGCCCCCTGGTGGTCAGTGTGCATCATAGTGACCGGTCATTCCACCGTTCGGTTGATTTGCATATTAGGGTTATATTATATAGGATATATAAAAGCCTAATATGCAAAGTGTCCCCTCAGGAGTTTGATTGCTTGCTATGACATGTGCTTACCACCAGGAGGCAGTGTACAATGAAGGAAGGCCCCCGCTGGCAGCTGGCAGCCATGGAAGGGAGGCCCCCATGCATGAATTTTGTGCTCTGGGCCTCTAGTATATAGATACGCCCCTAATAACAGAACCTTAACATATGTGAAGTGAAAACTGACAGAATTGAAGGGAAAAAATAGATAATTCAACAACAATAGTAGGAGACTTCAATCTCCCACTTTTAATAATGGATAAAACAACTAGAAAGAAGATAAGTAAGGAACAATGAAATTTGAACAACACTGTAAACCGATTAGACTCACAGACATCTGCAGCATACTCCACACAATAGCAAAGTACATGTTCTTCTCAATCAAGTTTACATGAAATTTCTCCAGGATGGGCCATATGTTAGGCCAAAATAAATTTAAAAGAATTGAAAATTTGTTCTCCAACCACAAGAGAATAAAAGAAAGGAATTTGGAAAAGTCACAAATGTGTGGTGATTAACCACCCCCCCCCTGCAATAAATAACGAGTCAAAGGAGAAATCACAAGAGAAATAGAAAATAGTTCAAGATGAATGAAAACAAAAAAGTAAATCCTGAAACTTATGGGATGCAACTAAACCAATGCTTAGGGGAAATTTTATAGTCACAAATGCCTGTATGAAAAAAACCTCAAATCAATAAACTTTAGAAGCTACAAATTAAGAGCCAACTAAACCCAAAGCAAAAATAAATAAATAAATAAGTAAAGCCAAAGCAAGCAGAAGAAAGGAAATAATAAAGATTAGAGTAGAAATTAATGAAATAGAGACTAAGAAAATGATAAAGTAAGTCAACAGAACCAGAAGTCGGTGTGTTATTTTGAAAT